GAATGCATGTGTCTTCGATAAAATCATATGCCATACTTGTGTTTGCTGTAGTTTCAAGGCCTAAAATTATGCGGAATTTGGAAGAGTGTGTAAGGAGTTGTCGTGAATCCTGTTTATTGAACCCCCTAATCCGGTCGCTCCACCTCCTACACAGGGTTCCCCTTGTCGCAGCAGGTCGCAGCAGGTCATTAGCCCGAATATTTATCTCGGAGTGTCTCTACACCTAGGTCTCGATGTTAGCGCATGTATGACTCACACATCCGAGGTGTAAGTACACACGCGCAAACACCACACACGACAAAACGACACCAACGTGGTTGAGCTCTGAAGTAAACTCTTGTGTCCGTCCTCTCCAGCCTTATTCCTTCATCGCGGGTATCAGGCAAGCGTAGTCGGGCCAGGGTTAATTCCGTGGCCCCGGCGTGGTTCAAGACCACGTGCTGGGGCCCACAACAGAGTAATCAAGCGTGAGGTCACTTTATTTAAAGAAACAGTTCTTGTAGGCTGATTGTGATTAGGCGTTAATCAATCACCTGAGACTAATCAAGCTAAGGAATGAGTAATTGTGTGATGTAAGGTGTTCTGGGTGACCAATATACAGTGCTGGGTTAAATGCATGACTTGTTTGTTTTGCAGCCCCAAAAGATGTGATCGTGACTCCGCTTTCGACAACCTCCATGAAGGTGACCGTTGTGCCTCCTGACGACGCGGCAAACATTGTGCGCTACGACGTTTTCTTGCCTAGTCTGGGTGATTATGCGGCATGTGAAATAGAGGCTGGCAATGGTCCACTGGAATGCGAAGTTGGTGGGCTCTTGGCTAGCAGGATGTTCACAGTGCGGGTTCATTCGTGTATGGAGAAAGCTCCGTTCTACAGTGAGGGCGTGGAGGGGAAGGGATGGACGAAGCCGAATGGCAAGTTGTCACTTTCTTGTTCCTGATTGCTCATTATTAGTTATTTTTGGAATTCATTTTCCAAAATATCGTCGTTGAGAGTGGCTTAAATTTGCAAGTGTCCCTGGTTAAACACATACTTTAACTTGGTTTTGGGTTTAAAATACGTCAGGATAATGCTATTGGAGCCTTCTGTGAAAGCCGATTTACTCTAAAAGTGCATGAGAATGCGTATTTGACTTTAATTGCACCTTAATTACCGCTACAATTGCGATGTGGGTCGTAGAACGTCAGTCCTTTATCAGACCTTATTGGCGTTTTCAATCACCAAAATGAAGCTGAATTGCCACGTTCTTTTTATAACAAATACCAGCCACCGTGCTGGAGACGCAAAGTAAAAGCACATCGGTGATTGTTCTATTCGAGGCATTGTGCCAGTGCGTCTCAGCGGCATACAGGCACTCCAAATGTTCGATTTGATTGGAGCATTTTAAACCTGTGAGTGGTTAGCGAAGCGATGTTTGGCCTCATTGCAATTCGCGTTATTAATGGAAATGGGATAGATGCAGTTAGTGTTAAAGGAAATTAGAATTGAAACAAAGTAATTTAATGAATAAATCGGTGGTTCTCTCTCTCCTACGTTTCGTCAGCTCCAGCTAGTGCGATGGTGACGCAGAGCACATCGTCATCAATGGTGGTTGGGGTCAAGGCTCCGACAGATGACACCGGGATTGGCCGCTACGCGGTGACAGTTGTTGGAGTGGTGCCGATCAAATCGTGCACGATACCGCGTGGAGGTAAGCTGGAGTGTCGACTGGAAGGTCTGCGATCCGCCACTCAGTACGAGGTTGCCGTGAGTTCCTGTATCAGTGGCACAGATCCGGCCGTGTGCAGTGAAAGCTTGAAGGCATCGGGATCGACACAACTGAGCTGTGAGTCATCAGAAATCGATTTCAGAAATGAATCAAGTTCTTTTCCGGTTTTACACAAGATTAGCTTAGTGTGATGTGAGTGTAATGTACGTGTGTAATTATCAAGTGTGTTTTATAGACCAAACATGTGAAAGACCTTCAATTGCATGAAGTAGAGTTAAATGGAGAAGAGTTGAATGGGTGAAGATATCAACCGAGAGTCTCTAAATACGCCTTCATCAAGTCCATTAACGAGGCCAAATTATTTCCAAGTTGCCGTATATCTTAGAAGAGGATTCTGATTTTGCATAGACAAGTTCGTTCATAATTGGGCACAGTCAATTAAATGTCTTTAGTTATCTTTGTGGCCACACTCGTTGTGATGAGATTCAAAAATCGACGGGAAACTATAAAAGGAAAAATCTAATGATTCAGAATTAAATTCTAATGACCTGATTGGTGTTTGTTTAGAGAATATTTAGCCCAGAATTGATTTGCTTTAAGTGCAAATTTAATGAACTTGACTAACCAGGTCAGCATGGGGACTTTTCAGTGAGACTGTCAAAAGTCCACGCCGTAAAATGGCTGTGGCGAAACTTGTAATTCCATATGATGCAGAAACTCCGTAAAAGTGGATAGGTCCGTAAATACTCAATGAAGTCCATTTTGTAATCAGCAAATGTTAAATTGATGATTTTATGAACATCTGTTAATCCAGACATTGACAGCCAAGGCGTGGCACATTTTGCAATTGCCTTGCAGCGCCAAAAGGCGTGAATGTGACTCCGCTTTCGACAACCTCCATGAAGGTGACCGTTGTGCCTCCTGACGACGCAACAAACATTCTCCGCTACGACGTTTTCGTGCCCAGCCTCAGTGATCTTTCGCTTTGTGAAATAGAGGCTGGCAATGGTCCACTGGAATGCGAAGTCAGTAGACTCGCGGCGGGCAGGATGTACACAGTGCGGGTTCATTCATGGACGAAGAAAGCTCCCTTCTACAGTGAGGGCGTGGAGGGGAAGGGATGGACGAAGCCCAATGGCAAGTTGTCACTTTCTAACACCCGTCAGCACTTCGTCAATTTTTAGTGGTTCAGCTTCCTCCTAATGTATTCCTATCTTCACCTGTTTTGGTTTTTATTATTTCTTAATGAAATTGTTGCATTGGCGCTTTAGTGAACTTGTAGCAAGGAGTCTACAGATAGAAATGACGTGTCAACCACATATTTATGCGTTGATAATCCATTACCCAGATTGAAAATAAAAAGTAGTGTGACTTAAATGATTGGTGCACCCCACAATACTGCAGTCTCTAAACAAGATAGTTCGTTTCTTCAATTATGTCTCAGTATTGTTGTTGTTGCCTGTAGGTCCAAGGGGCGTTAATGTGATCACAGTTTCAAGCTCCTCCTTGAAGGTCGTGGTCATGTCCCCCTCAGACCCGTCTAGCATCAGCCAATACAAAATTGCCGTCAAGGGTACAAACCCAACCAAGTCGTGCGTAGTCGATGC